CGCTCTTGCAATTCACTCTGTGGCCTAAAATTATTATTATTATATTATATTCAGAGAGCTGGACATGTTTAAATACCTAAAATGCCCCAAAACCTTCCAATATCCTGTCTTTTAAATGAAAGTTTCAGCAGGTCTATCCAGATTTAATTTCTCAGAAATTAAAACTCTAAATTGTTTTGCCGGGGGGAGTAGCCACGCAACGCGGCCTCGTGGAAGCGTCGGCTCCTTCGCTCCCCCACCGCAGGTTACGCCAGCGAAACGAAATGTCATTGGATCCGTCACAAATTACTCCTCCTGCTTGGCAGAGGCTGAAACAACCTGTCTGCACTGCGTGTCCTGGAACAACCACGGTTACTCCCAACATTTCAGAGTACACTTCTCTGCAGGGTGCAGGCTGCAGCAGGGCAAGAGAGGGAAGAATTATCAGTTAGCGATTTACCAAATATTTTTGGGCTGCTGACTTCTCCTCTTCTGATGGCGTGAAAAAATCCCATCCGGAGCAAGCGCGCGGATCTGTGTGTACCGGTGCCAGGGGTTACTTCTGTATGCTCTTATTTGATATTCCCTGACATAAATAATTGGTTTTTATTCTAGCATCTAATCTCTTATTATTTCGACATAACGCCAATATTTTAAAAACTTGTAGAAATTATTCTGAAGGCTCTATTTATGCACCAGCCATTCACCTCCCGCTCCAGTCTCACAGCCCGGGCGTATTTCCCAACTTTTATGCAGTTTGTGAGACCGTACAGCTCAGCGCAGCCATGGGACCACTGTCCTGGACAGGACGTCCCCATTCATGTTTTAAGGAGCGCAAAAAGACCATTTATTTTACCATCATCCAGTGTCATTTTCTTATGAGAATTAAGCGCTCCTTCTGTTTACAGAGTCAGCACTAAGAAAACTACCTAACCGAGGTGCCCATCAGCAGGCTGTTTTGAAACGTTTGTGCAAAACCAAAAAAAAAAATTCATCTGAAATCAAGCTGCAGCAAAAACCCGAGAGTCGGTGTGACGGGGAGCCACCTCCTGGGGAGCAGAGCAGCGGCTTCGCTGCCGCCAGGGCCCAGCTCTTTCTACGGCAGGCAGCTAAAAACATCCGCGTTCACACTCTTACCGGGGAAACGTGGAAAAAACCATAACAATGTTATGAGGGTAACAGAAACGCCCAGCTAGAGACAAGGGCACGCTTCTCCATGGCACTTCAGGGGCTAATCTCTGGCACAGCTTTGATAAAGGGAATTTCTAACTTCTTTTTCGTGCTCCCCGCCTTTCACCGAGTTGCCTGAGCACTTAACGTTAGATGGAGAATGTGCAACCTGTGAGTTTGCCGGGGTCTACGAGAACTGAAGGTAGCAGCACCAAAGTCTGCTCTCCTCAAAGCTAACGAGCAGGAAAACATCTATCATAGTTATTGTAAGGATCCAGCCTCAGGTTAACGAATTGTGTCTCTGTTAAAGTCATACTTACAGATCACCTGTGTATGGTAACGAATAGATCTTGAAATATCGGTGAAGTTACTAAACCATGTTTATTCCAGAAAAGGAACAATATTGCTGGGCAGAAATGCAGTACATCAGCTGGATACTGTTTCTGCTGCAGAGTCCATCAAATAAATGAGCTCAGTCGGTGCAAGTTTTGCATTCAGGACACAAACATGTACTACTGTTTATCTGTGCGGTGTGTCTGTTATATGAGTATCCATACGTGAAAGAATCTTCATATGCGCTGTTTAAAAATGTGCTGTGAACCCCAGTGTGTACTTAGAGCTTATTTCTTAGATTCATTACAAGACGCTGGGATTCCAGGGAACGTCTCCGAGCCCAGGAACTGGCTTACCAGCAGCAAAAGATAGGGGAGGGAAAAAAAAAAAAGAAATTTTACAACAACAACAGTAACAAAATTCAAATACCTCTTACAATCAGGTCTGCAGCAGCCGATAGCTTGTCCACACTTGTTTGCACCATGCAGACGTACTTCCCAGCGTGCTTCAGCTGGATGCTTCTGATCATCAAATCACCAGCTGAATCCTGCTGATAAAGTAGGGAAAAGTGGTTACAATTACTTTTTAATGAGCGCTAAACATCATTATCACATGAAGGACACTGTGACTAATGGATTTACTTTACACTGGCTGATGAAAACATTAGTAATGCAAGCCGTGGCCTATTAAAATTATGTGAGTCTGCCTTGAAGATAAGAGCGGGAGCGTTTCTAAAATTATGGCTGCTACAAGGGGCAGGGGAGCCTGGTTTGGGTCCGTTAAGCAGTTTCCCCATTAAAACAATGTGACGAAGCTTATGTAGGACAGGTTTGCTCTGATTCCTCCTTTATCTCTCTGGATACCCAATTTATAGCCTCTCTGGTACTCAGATGCCCAAGCAGTGTCTGCAGCCATTTCGCAAGTGAAAACCAGCCCAAATTATGAGACATCTGCAATAGTTTCACGGCTTTGTATTACGGCCAGCACTTTGATTGCCCGGTGTTTTTGTGCTAAAGATCATGAGAACAGCACTCTCCGAGGAAATCTTGCATCACCTAACAGCAGTAATTTGTTTTCCAAACGCCGAGTGCATGTCTGATTAACTGTTGAATAGAACTAATTACGTTTCTGTATGTATAGGAAGCTGAAAGCGCTCTCTAAATTTTTCTCCAGACACAAAGCATTCGATACATTAGAAATCTCAGGGTAACCTTGTGATTGTGGCTTTCTGACTGAAGAATATTAATAAAGTTTGTAATTTTAGCTTTGCAGGCCAATCAGGCGCAGTCGCCGGGAAGTGCCGTCCCTGCTGATGCGCGCCCTGGGCATCAATCTTTAAGTGCATCTTCTAATGATTTTTTTTAGGGATAACAGCAAGGCTGGTAAATTGTATTTCTTTTTCCTTTCAGCATTAAATTTCACTCCTGACAAATGTAAACACGGACTGCCAGTCTGCCTGAAACCCAGCAGAGCATGTGGCTCTGTAAAACCTCCCTTAGAGCAATATGCAAAACCTTTTCCAGTTTTCTACCTCTGCTGAAAATTTTTTGCATTTCTTTCCTTCTTTTTCTTGCTAACTTAACCAATAAAAGTTGAAAAAAAAATCACCAGGAAGGATGAGAAAGCATTTTTAAATTGCAACCAAGTCAGAAATTAAACTCCCGAAGTCCTGCTTAACACACAATTAGAGGAAATCTGAACTGTGAAGGAAAATGTTATAGTTACAAAGGAAAGCAAACTTTTTACCCATCTTCCAGACACAGACTGTGAAATCGCTGCTTCTCTTTCAGTAAAAATTATTTGGAAATTATTTTTGGTCAGAAGAATGGCATGAGAAGCTCGGGCAGGTCTGACAGAGGTGCTACCTCCTCGTGTGAGCACCCTTTCTAACAGACGGCGTTCTCAGGTACCTCCTATAGCACTGACCCTCTCCACTTCCCAAAATTCGTGCTACAGCAACTTCAGGAAATCTGAAACTACTAGAAAAACTGAACCAACCTGCCCTTTACAACTGAGCTAGAAGCAGAGAAAATCAAGCAGGGAAGGACCATCATGGGCACCCTTACCTTGCTACGGGCTCTCCGGTCCTAAACCTTCCTGGAGAGGCAGAAAATGGCAAATGACCCAGGCAGATTTTCTCCTCTACTACAAAGGAGTAATCCTACCTTCACTGCCTTTTCTTCCCTGTATCTGCCACTTCATCATGGTCTTGAACAACAGCGGTGTTTAATGGGCAGCGTAACCATCATTCCACACCTGACTTCTAGCTATTGGATTTCCATGATCTTTTCAACCTTCAAATAAACAATTCTTTGGACATTGCAAAAATTTGCATTGTCAGTGGGTACTGACTGGGTTTCCCATAAGTAAACAACCAACCAACCAACGCAAAGATACCAATGTGACATTGCCAGGAAAGGTACACAGATAACACCGAAAAGAAATGCCATCTCCGACGGTCGGTGATGTTTGTAATCCAATGCAGGTTCTTTTGTGTAGAGAAAAAACACTTTCTCTGAGCATGTGGTCACAAGAGGAGGACACAGATACAGACATATAAACATGCCAGCAAACACTGCCTGAACAAATTTGAGGCTATCCTCTGATTTCCCACTATTTTCTGTATAAAACCAAAGTTCTACAATTGTTATTTTTTGCATTTCTTTTACTATTACAGCCAGAGAAAAACTATTATAGACTTCTCCCTTTTGGGTAAAATAAGAAGGCATTTTTTTGCAGTGAGAAAACACGTTCCAGTACAGGTCTTCTGACACACTGCAATATGAATACATTGTTCATGTGAGCAGATTTAAGTCGTGTCGTTAAGTAATTGTAACAATTCTACACCAACTATAACGAAGTAGTATACTGGCAATGTTTCTCCCCAGTTTACAAGACCCAAGATAATGTCTCTTACTATTAACTTAGTCAAACTCATTCCTTCGAGCAGTGGCCTTTTCCTATGGTACCTACTTTTATTAGTGAGATTGCTTTAGTATTAATACTTACCCCTCCAACTCTTTCAAAGTGATCCCCATCTTTTTCAAAGTCTATCAGGTGTCCATTAAATGACCAGGTAAACACGATATCTAGCGAGTGATCGTGAGATACCTGACAAGGCAAGACAATGCTTTCTCCAACAGTGACATCCATGCTGAAAGGTGACACCATAACTCGGGTTGGATCTACAAACAACAAAGAAAACAAAAGGGGTTAAAAAGCATTAGTCCCGTCCTCCTGAGAAATGGAGAGAGATGTAGAGCTGAAAAAGACGCTAAGCGGTCTGCCGCAACCGCACCGTCGCCACCAGAACTCGAGAAATTTGCAGTGACCACTTAGGAAGATCCTTAATGCAACAAGTGAACTATCACGTCTTTGATTTTATCCTTCAATACCTTCATCTTTTTGTTAGATTGAAACACCATTAATAAATCCTCCAGAATCCTCTTCTAGGCACCATCCTACTGAACAAGGAAAATAGAAAAGGCTGGAAAACAGTGCAGCAGATCTGAAAGGCTTGGTTAAAATATTTGAAAAAGTTTGGAGATCAGAGATTACTTTATTTGAATCTTCTTACTTCAAAGATTCATTTCACAGTCATACATTGCTCACCGTGGTTATGAAAAAAACTATTTTATTGTTCCTAAAGTAAATGATGCCTCAAGAAAACTCTCTCCATGTAAAATCTCCAAAACTGGAATGAAGAAGGGTATATTAAAAACTGAGTGATATCTGCTTGGACCTGGAAAGGGAAAGATTAGACTAACATTGTTGTACGTTATGTTTATTGCAAACTTGGTGTTTGTTTAGAATACTGGCCACATTCTCTGACTGATAGATGGTTTTACATTTTAAATCCAGGCAGTTCTCTTCGTTTGAGGAGGGCCCACACACAGAATAAATATAAATGATGAGTGATACCAGCCAAACCTTTCACACCATGGAAACCAAAACTCTGCCCCAATACGCCAAGTCCTGCACTGATGTCAGACAGAGGGGTTTTGGGGTAAGACGTCGCTCCGGGTGTAGTAACTCCTCTGCCTGACGTGCAGCTGATTTGAGTCTGTTAGTAGGTCAGACTCATGTGTTAGGACCTCTTTGGTCTTGTCCTGGTGAGCAAGAACCGAGCAAATATTTTGGGGAGGTGAAGCGGAAGAAAGGTGAGAAAGGGCATTGTCCTAAACACGGCGTTTGCAAAGGAAAGCCCCCAAACCTGCAGATATCTGTGACGCAGCAAGTTCTGTCTGTTAAATATGGGCTTATCAGCTCCACCTTGGGCTTCAGGACTAATCCCGTACTCACAGCTGGAGTTCACATGGATCCTTTACCACTGGTTTAATTGCCTATTTTTCACTTTAGTCGTGCAGTATGAGCAAAATGGTGGCACAGAAAGATGAGCCATGACACATTATGCAGACTTCAGCTCCTCATATGTGCCCATGAATTCCCTCTGCCTCTGAAGTTAACATTTGTCTTTCATTTCTGTTGACAAGAATGTCGTAATTTTTTTCTGCAGGGCCTCAGAGGAAATGAAAAGGAGAAAAAATATTGCTTAACAATGAGACCTTTTCAGACCAAGTCTAAAGATCATATACAGATAGATATTTTTGCTTATTCCAAAAGTCTGTTCTGCACAGTTGTCATGCTAAAATACTACGAGCATTATTCATTCACTGGTACATGAAACCAAAATCTTAACTACTTCTTCCAGAGACTACTGGCCAACTGCTTAATTCTCTGCTAAAATAATAAGGATATAGCAACAACAATATGTACTGGGCAGAACTACTCACTGAAATTCAGGGGATGCAAAGCTGTTCCTGAATTTTCGAAGACCTTACCAAAAGTGTACAGGAGGTGGTGAAAAAGATCTCATCACTGACTTCAATAGGCTTCAGATCAAGTCCTCAGGGACTTGGCTGTATGCTTGGACAAATTTAATTCATCTATATTTTGGTTTCACTTCTAACAAACTAGAGGAACTCTTAGCAGAACCACAGTAGATGTTCTGAGGCTTAACTAATTGATAAAAGTAAAACATTCTAAGTTTCTCAGGATAAAAGCAGCGTTAGTGCAAGTTACTAAAGTAATGTTTAACTCTTGCTTAGACTTATGACGTTGGTTTTGATTATAACTCATGTGTCAGGATTTTACAGTCACTTGGGATTGCTACTACTGAAACTCAAGAACACCTGGAGCATCCCAGGCTGAGATGCTACAGAAACGTCCGCACCTGCAGTGGGGCTCAGACACAGAACCACTTACTGAAACGCCTTTCAGCATCAGAGTTCCTCCTCTGCCCTGCTCAAAGCCCGTGTGAAATGTGCAGGAAGGACATGACTCTGAGGCGAAATGGGTGCCTCCCACAAAGCCCTGAGCTCTCCCATGAGTCCCATATGGATCCGTGTAAGCTGTGGTCCTTAACACGTGTTGGCACTGAGGTTTCGCTGTAGCTAACCCTCGCCTCCACGGCACTTTCTGCAAGAGAAGCCCACACCAGAAATATGATTCTTCCTGCCGCAATACATACCATTTATAAACAAATTAAGAGCGAAACATGGGTGTTTGCTAAAGACCTGCTTTGCAGAGCAGCTTAGCACAGCTCCTGTGGACACTGTAGGAACTGCGATGCTCCGAAAATCAGGCCCCCAGGTCTCAATCCAATCACGTCGGGAAGGGCTGCAATCTAATAGCCGGACACAGCAGGTTGCGGGAATGGCCGATACAGCTTGGTGCCAACCCGTGTGCGGGGAGGGCTCTGACCCAAGCCATGCTCAGCACAAGCACGACCTCCGCAATGCGCTTTACAAATCACCCCGAGGAGAACGCTTATCCATCTCTTCTCAAGGACTGGGAAAGCTGAAAAGCAAAAACATCCCCTCCCTGCCTTTAATAACCCCAGCGGAGCAGCAAATGGAAAATGTTATTCAGAAGCCAACGGAGGGCAGCCGAGCATAGGCACACCTTGGCGACATGCAGCCAAGTGGTAATCAAAATTATTAGATTTGCATTTTCAGAACCTGTAACATCAGCCATTTTTAAAATTATGGCGACTGCTTTAATGACACCAAAATTGTGTTGGTTAGCATCCAAGTCAAAACCAAAAAAATACCAATGATAGTTTTTTTCTCAGCTAGCTACTCATTTATTTGTTGTCCACTTGCAAGGCAAGAGAGGCAGCCCAGGGAGACTGATACTACTAAGAGAGCTGACCTTAACACTCTGTTACTGTCCTGTCCCCCCTGAACGCAGGTTATTTCCCTTAGATGTCCTTGCTCAGTAAGGGCACTATTGCCAAAGACAGTTCATTAAAAAAAATAATTGTGATTTTGGCGATATTTTGAGACGATATTCACCTTTGGAGCATTTTGAGATAGTTTTAAAAATAAGACTGAAAGATTCAATTGCAGATAAAGGGTAAGAATCTCTATTGGTAGCGTCACCCCTTACAGCTGCCTGCAGGTTCCCGAGCCCTCCGCGGCGGGAAGCGGTGCCTGGCACTTCCCAGCTCTCCTGCAGAAAGAATCGACAAAAAGTGAGCAAAATTATGCCGGGTCACTTCTAAGAAAGTCCATCTGGCATTACTGAGAAGTTTTGAGAGGAGAAGTGAATAACGCACGCCAGAGGGAACACTCTGAGGGGATGAAAAGCTCTCTGTCATCAGGAGGCAAAATAATCCGGTTTTTAGTCTCAAGTAGGAAACGGGGGAAAACATGCCTACACTGTATGTGCGAAGACGCTCGCGGGTGTCCTGTAGCAAACGCAGCGACCGCAGACGTGAGCGAGCGTCCGCTGGCCCGCGCTTGGCTTTGCCGCAGAGCCGGAGGAGACCTTTCTGCGCAGCCCCGGGAGGCGCGGGAGCAAGGCAGGATTTGTGGGACGTGCCGGCACGAAGCCTCTGCGGACCGGCTGGCGATGGTCTGTAGGTGTCACTGACGGCTCGGCGAAGCGGGGAAGCTCCCTCTCAGCCTTCCTTTCATGCCGGCATTTTCAGGAGCAGGCTTTTTGCGCGACAGAAACGGCGCTTTTTGGTTTTCCGAGCCGTTTTCCGTGCGTGCCAGCCAGGCTGGCAGCTCACGGGGCGGCTCAGCTCGCAGCCTGTCGTCAGCGCCGAGATGGTCTGCGCAGCGTGAAAGCCCACGGGGATGGTTGTCGGCTGGGGCTGACCCACACGGCCGCACGGGACAGCTCTGGACACCACTGCCACCGGCCCCGGCCACCCTGGCGAGGTGCACCGAGGCTACCCGAGCTTTTCTTACCTATTTTTGTCCTGCAGGCCATCCTTTAGTTTTATCGCTGCAGCATACTGCAGAGAATTCGGTGTATTTCTGACTGATTTAATGTATCTAGTTCACATTACAAGAGATTTTAAGCAAGTTTTCTTGCTAGCTTTCAGTTTCTTAGAAGAAACGGAGCTGAGCAGCACTTCCCAGCTGCGGGAAGGCTGTAATGGCTTCCCTTTGCCCCTCGTCCCCTGCTAAAGGGAACCCTCGTTAGCTGGTAGTGCCGCCTGCGTGGCGCGTCTCATCGTGGGACGCTGCGGTGCGTTTCCGAGC